ATATATTATCTATAATATTTTATAGATATATATTTGTTGTTGATTGCCTTCGAGTCAAGCACGACTCAGCGACCTTATAAACAAAAGGCCTAAAGCCCCTCTACAACTATAGACACTTATGAAAGTTCATAGATTTTCCAGAGCCATGTTGTTTAAGATGTGGACTTATTTAAAAAATTCAAATACATTATTTTCAAGGACAAATTCTTTCAATTTCCCTCACTCCCCCACCCATCAAATTGTACAACCCCATGATTAATCCCCCCTTCCTCCTGCACGTCCTGACGGCTCTGCTTCCAGCCTCTCCCAACCCTCTTATATCCTCATACGCATTCTACAGTATTGGTTTTATACAGTATTTGTCCTTGGGGGACTGAGTTAGTTTATGCAGCATAATGCGTTCTCTAATTATTACCTAACTTGTGAGGGATGGGAGAGCTTGCTGAATAAACTAACATATACACATTTTTTAAAAAGCTGAGAATACACAAGTTCTCCTACTTTTGCTTTTTTTGGGAAGGAGAATCTCTCTAATGATATGTATTTCTCACTATTCACTCGGTGCAGTTCAACATACCATGTTCATGATAGTGAGGATGTAGGATTCCACATTCTCGCTCCCATGATACTCAACCATCTTCGTGTCGGCCACCACCAGGGTCTCCACCCATCTCTCTTTGCTGATGGAACGTCGAGAGACACTTCTGCTTGGCAAGTGGTTCCTCTCCCACTTCTCCCTCTGTAGCTCTTGCTTTTGAAAAGTGCCAGAACTGTCTGAAAAATAAACAGAAGATAGCAGGGTCAGTCTAACCATCTCTCACGTCCTTTCCACTGATGTTTGTAGAGATAAAAATCTGTGAGCATCATTTGTGTTTAGGAATGGATGGATTCAATGCTCATGTAGTCATGACTAAAACGAAAGGGATCACTTTTAAACAAATACAACCAAGATGACTAAAATGTAAGACTTAGAGAGGAGTTAAAAAAGTAGTCATTTGAAATAATGATTATCTATTTCACTAATTTGTGTCCTTTATTATGAAAAAAAGATATCATAATTCAGAATGAGCATGTTCCTTTTTTTCCTCCTCTTCTAAATTATTCAGTGTCGTCAGCAGTGTTCCGGGCTTTGAAATGCAAAGCTGGCTATCCTCATGAACATTTGGAGTACCTATCTCTTTCTATTTAACAAATGTGAAAATGGGTGCTCAAAGCGGCTGGTTAAAGAACACCCCAAAAGTCACACACAGTCCACACAGTGGAATATAAATGAGCTTGAGGCCCCTAAAGGCATGCTTCCTTATACTTACCACTACACTGTGTGGTGTTAAAGATAAACAAATGTGATTTCTAACCAGAGGTTGGAGTTTGACATCTATTCAGAAGCACCTCAGAAGAAAGGCCTGGCATCCAACTGCATAAAAACTAGCCAATGGAAATTCTGTGGACATAATTCTACTCCGACACACATGAGGCACCATCAGTTTAAACAGACGCAAGGACACTGGCAGGAGTTCTGAGATAGTGAAGAGTTAATGTTCTCAACTGCTGGCCTAAAAAGGATATTCTTGGAACAAAGGCCTAACAGCTTAATTCTGTAGACTAACTATAGGAAACCCAACAGGGTACAGTTCTACTCCGACATATAAGGAATTGTGAGTGGAACGGAATCACCAGCAAGCTGTCCGCCAGAGTAAACATGCGTAGAACCAGGACAGATGGAAGGCAGGCAAGGGGTGGAAATCCAGGACATCCCACTTCAAGAAGCCACTTTTTTTAAAAAAAAAAATTTTTTTTTACAGAGGTTTTGGATTTCCATTCATTCATTGCCGCAATTTTCTCCCTTCCCACCCCTCCCCACCAGTTCGCTTCCCCCTCCAAAGAGAGAAAAAAGAAAAAAAAAGGAAAAAAATGCCTTCATTAGTATACAATTCCCACATCCCTTCCCCCCACCCCCCACCCCAAGTACACTTCTCTATGCAACCTTAATTCTGGATTCTTGTGCTAACCATAATACTCAATCATATATCACTTCTAATCTGTTCTTTCCCTCATCTGTTTCAATACAATATACATAATTTATCCAGTTTTTTCTGTTGTAGAATGGGTCTGTCATCAGGGTGGGGGTATGACAGAAAAAACTGGATAAATTATGTAAGAAGCCACTTTTAAAAATTATGTATATTGAAACAGATGAGGGAAAGAACAGATTAGAAGTCATATATGATTGAGTATTATGGTTAGCACAGGAATCCAGAATTAAGGTTGCATAGAGAAGTGTACTAGGGGTGGGGGGTGGGGGGAAGGGACATGGGAATTGTACACTAATGAAGGAATTTTTTTTCCTCTCTTCGGAGGGGGAAGTGAGCTGGTGGGGAGGGGTGGGAAAGGAGAAAATTGCGGCCATGAATTAATGGAGATCCAAAACCTCTGTAAAAAAAACAAAATAAAAAAAATAGAAACAATCTAAGAAGTACTAGAGAAAGTTGTCAAAGACATTAAATAGGCTTCAGTATAAAAATGATATAAATATTAGTATTTTAAATTAATTTTAATGAAAATTTACAGAGACATTGTCTTTCCATTCATTCATTGTTGCACTTTTCTCCCTGCCCAATCTCCCCCCACCAGTTCACTCTTTTCTTTGAAAAAAAAAAATTTTACAATCCCTCCCCACAAGTTCACTCCACTATGCATACTTCATTCTTGACTCCTGTCATGACAGTAATACCCAATTATATATCCCTTTTAAACAGTTCTCTCCCTCATCTGCTTCAATGCAGTACACATTATTTATCCCATCTTTCTCAGTCTCCCCCCAACTCCGATGTCAGTCCCATTTCACAACAGTGGCACTATGCAGTGTTTGTCCTTTTGTGACTGAGATAACTCACTCAGCATAACGTCCTCCAGGGCCACCCATGTTGTTCAATATATCATGAGTTCCTTGTTTTTAATGCAATCTATATTCCATTGTGTGAATATACCACAGCCTCTCTATCCATTTGCATGTTTATGGCATGTAGGTTGTTTGTAACTCTTTGTTATTATGAACAAAGCCACAATAAACATGGGTGTGCATATATTTGCTTGGGTGGTAGTTATGATTTCTTTGGGTTATAATCCCAGTAGTGATATTGCTGGGTCAAATTGTATTTCTATTTGCAACTTTTTGAGAAAGCGCCATACTGCTTTAGTATTTGGGAGACCAAACTTAACTGAAGCCAAACGCTTGAAGATAATTGGAAAGATGATATACAAAATTACTTTCAAAAGTCCCACAATAGTAGTCTTACACAGTATTTGTTCTTAAAAGTCTGAGTTCAGCCGTCGCGGCCCCCTGCCTGGGGTGAGCCGTCGCGGCCCTCTGCCCGGGGTGGGCTGCCCTCTGCCCACTGCCCGGGGCGAGCCGTCGTGGCCTTCTGCCCGGGGTGGGCTGCACTTGGCCCCTGGCTCGGGGCGAACCGTCGTGGCCCTCAGGAGCAAGAAGGCAAGCAGCTGTAACCCAAGACCACCAGTAAGGTGATAAAGCGTCCTCCCTTCCCCCCTTTATATCTACGCCCCTATTCAGCATGAAGAAGCCAGAGAGTCGGCATCCAATTCCCAAATCAATAAGACAGTTGGTTTAATTACTATTGGAAAATGCTTGTCATTCCTCTGTAGCATCTGGTCCCCACTGGACCCTCATCATTTCCTTCACCTGCTCCCCCCACTGACCAAACTGTGCAGCTCTGCAACTGCATCCTGGCCCATCCTCACCCTTCTGCCCCCAACCCTCACCTCCTTGTACCCCCAATATGTTTTTCCCAATAAAAAAAAATATAAGAAAAAAGTCTGAGTTCACTCAGCATAATGTCTCTAACCTCTCCTATATCACATAGTATTTTACAAAATTATTGCTCTTTAGTACTGCATAGAATTCTATTGTGTGAATGTATCACAATTTCTCAATCCATTTGCTTATAGGCATTTGGGCTGTTTCTATTTTCTTGCTATTGTGAATACTGCTGCTATGACCATAGATGTACAAATCTCCATTTGTATCTCAGTTCTATTTTCCTTGGAGTATAGGCCATTATTATAAAAAACCAGAAGGATACCTAGCAAGAAGTGTATAAAAGATGAAAAGGGAAAAGGGGGAAATCTCTAGGATAATAGAGTTTAGTGGGCAACGGGGGAGGGGCATGAGGGAGGGTGAAGGAATTAGAAATGATCCAATGTGGACCTGAAAAGACAGGGTAATAGTAGACATTGATCAATGGTTGTCAATGATGATTAATTTTATAAGACACAGTGTATATGAGTGATCATTTGAAACACAATGTGAGTGTAGGAATGTGTGTAGCATAATGTACATGAGTGAAACAGTGTATATGGCATTTGATTGCAAATCAATTACAAAATAAAGTCAGAGGGGGAAGAAAGATGACTTAAAATTTACAAAATTTCAGAATACCACAACTTGAAAACATCTGTAAGAAACAGAAAGGGTTATTTAAAACTAAAATAGGATGTTAACTAATATGAAAGGTTGGCAGGCTGAATTACAGGAGAAAGATGGGCAGTCTTGTGCTTTAAAGATTTGTTGATATGTGCTATTGAGTTAACTATAATTCACAGCTGCCTGATGAGCAACAAATCCAAACAAACCTTCTCTTGTCCTGTGCTGTTCTCGAAACCTCTGCCATTGTCAAGTCTAGTGGCACAGCCACTGTGTCAACCTATCCCCATTGAGGAGCTTTCTCTCTTTGTCTGACTCCTACTTTTCCAAGGACTTTCTTGACAACATGCCCAAAGTATGTGAGACAACATTTCACTGTCTAAAATACACCATGATTGCACTTCCTCCAAGACAGATTTGTTTGTGCTTTTGACAGTTCATGGGATATTCAATATTCTTCACAAACACCATAATTCAAAGGTATTAGTTCTTAGATATTGGGCTGCCATGCATCAGAACTGCAGTTTCACACATCAGGCAGCAAATTCTCAAGCCAAGCATTGATGATTGAGTCTAAACCTTCAACAGTCTGAGCATTTAGGGAACTGATGAAGAAGGGATTTGCAGAAGAAGAGCAAGAAAGGGGATTGGGCTGATGGATGGACAGGGTCATAGTCTTTGAAGATTTGAATCAAGAATAGAGCCATGCATCCTATCTCCCCATTGTCTGCACCTGGACTCCATGTAGAATGGTGAAACCTAAGTTTTCTTTGTATAATCTTATGGTCATCAGTTTAAATTTGGATACTCAGCCAACCTTAAGGGTTACAAATGATTGATCCCATTGTGTAGGTGGTTATCATGAATTGGGAGACTGACTCAGTTGTTGTTGCCGTTATGTGCCATGGACTCATAGTGACCTTAAGAACAAAAGATCTTGTTCTATCCTATGCCATCCTTGGACTTCCTAACACACAAGAGCCCACTGTCGCAATTACATCAATCCACTTAGTTGAGGTTCTTCCTCTCCTTTGCTGACTCTGCACCCTTCCTAACATTACATCCTTCTCCAAAGAATAGCCCCTCTTAGCAACATGCCCAAAGTATGAGAGGCAAAGCCTCATCATTCTTGCCTCCAAAAAGCACTCCAGCTGCATCCTGTCCAAGACATATCTGTTTGTTCTCTCGGCTGTCCATGAGATGTTCAGCGCTCTTCTCCAATACCACAGCTCAAAGGTGTCAATTTTTCTTCTATCATCCTTATTCTCCAGCTTTCAGATGCATAGCAAGTGATCAAAAAGATAATGGCCTAAATCAGAAACACCTAACTCCT